TGGACGACAGCCGGAGCTTAACCTCACCCGACATGTAGTCATAGACGAAGACGTTGTCGTTCTCGTGGAAGAACTTCACGAAATCCGAGTGATAGGGATATTTGGCCAGAAACCACTTCTTCAGATCGGATCCCATGTGACGCCCGATATGTCCCTAAAAGACAATACAAACCAATCGTTAAACAAATGCATCCAAAAACGCATCGATCGCTCAGCTGTTCCCTTAGACAGACAGCGGGAGCGCACAACACGTGTGACAGACAGACCCGCCATCGGGTGGCGGACCCGTCGTTGTGGCCATCGATGGCCAGACAAGTGGACACTTACGGCAAAATTGGTCGGACGAGTGCTCTTTCCCGCAGATGTCTTGTAGTTAACCAGCGATCGGAAGAAGTCGATGGCGTCCTTATTCATAGACGCTTCCAGTCGTTCCGCTTCAGCCATATCTGCCATCTCTGCCATCGCAGTCGCCATCACTTCTTCGGATCAATTGATTTGTGATCTCTTTTTTGTGACACAAATTGAAAACGACTTTCAGTTTCTGTTTTTGTCACTAAATAATCGAAACCAGTGTTGAAAGCATTCGTATAATACGTTACACGCGTTCGTGTGATTGGGTGGGAGAGGGGGTGTATAGCGAGCGAGTGTTGCGATTGTATTGTTATTAAATGCAAACTTTGTTAATAGTAGGGGTGCTGTAAATGTGTGTTTAGGCGTAACGTTATTTGTGTAATCCTAATATTGTCTAATTTCACGTGTATTTGGTGTGAATGCCTGCGATTACTATGGATTGCAATTCATTTCTAATTTAATTAATAATTAGATTAAGTGTTAATTAAACTGCAATTAAAAACACATAAATTAATTCATTTAAATATAAGACAATTTAAATGTGATTTCAATGATTGTAAGCAATGTTTTGCACAAATTGTAACTACAATTGGTATTTCATAAATAGACGTATATTTTGTTAAATTATAATAAAATAATAATTTTAATTTTATGGTTACATTTAAATCGGATGTAAATTTATAAAACAAATAACTCAGAGTGAATGGCATTACATTGTGTACTAAACCATTAATTATACGAGCATTTAGTCAATTAATCACCAATTAATGGCTGTTTGCCATACTTTCCATACAAATACATGTATACTTCTCGGTAATAATTGCATCACAAATGCAACACATGTTAAAATTGTATAAATTGTTTATTAATCAATTTATTGTCTATAAAAATCTGTTGAGTATTTTATACAGACATACACTAATATAATACACTATTATTATCATGATTTATATTTTCACCCTCGTGATTTATGACCATGATCAATTGACCACCAAATCGTTAGAACACAAGCATTCATACAATAGTGCAGTAATTATTGTAAAATTTTCAAAGTATATAAACTCGACGGATATAATGCAAAATTCATCACAAATTTTAAGTAACTATAAAATTAACAAATAGTTAATAAACTTTTAAAACAATGAATTGTTCAGTATTGGTATCATTGGCTTTATGTATGTTTTTCATATAAATTTAAATCTTGCTCATGGTAAATGTTGTTATTAAAATATTTCCAAATCCCTGAACACAGGCCTAACCGCCGCTCAATTGTCTTATGGAGCGAGTGTTGAAAAGCGTGATATTGTGGGAGATCTGATGCATTTACTCAACCCGTTTGGTCACTGCCAGAGCCCTCCCGTCCAAAGTGTTGGAGCCGTTGGAGACAAACCGAGTGTATTGAAGGTAGACATGGATCAGGTATTACAGGCCGACTGCGCCCACCCCTTGTCCCCCAACTATAAGCAAACTTTGCGCCGATTGGACGTCGA